AAAAAAAAAAAAAGGAAAAAAAAAAGCATCTCCCTAATTGCTCTATCATTGAGGGTGTCACTTAGGAGATCATGGCACCTTCCCTTTGGTCAAAATACAGGAAAAAACTATGCCACAATACTCTCTGGCTCTAAATGGCCTTGTTATACCCTCACCATGTATCCCTTTCTAGCAGAAAAGGTCTTTTCACCCAGAGCATCTGGCTTGCAATGCCCTTTTTTTTTTTTTTTAGGGAAGGAGTGAAAGGACAATACAGCTCTTAATATGCAGTGACATCATTTCTGGCTCCAGTCCCACCACCCACCCTAAAGCAAGCCAGGGAGAAGACCTCCATGGTGGGGGCCCTTCTCTGGGAGCTGCTGAAAGCAATGCTACATTTCAGAAGTGACCTGTTGGTAAGTATGCAAGGGGTGCCCTATTAGGGCTACAAAAACAGGGCAAAAGGACTGTTGCCATCACCATGTAGACAACAACTTGCCCTGCTCAGACACGAGGCCCCAGCCCTCCCGCTCCACTGGGCAGGAGCTCAGACAGGATTTGAGCAAAGCGGGATCCAGCAAAGCCAGTTAACCCTGGGGAAACTGATCTGTCCAGATTGTTCAACTGCCACCAACCTGACAGAAGGCCATGTCCCCAGGCCAAAGTTAAGGGATACAGAATTTGCTTCACAGCCTAACGGGTAACACAAGAGAGTTAACAGGACAATGGCCAACATTACGAAGAGCAGCAGGAAACACTCAAAAGAAATGTGCCTTTAACGATGCATGTAGTGGCAACTTTCACTAAAAGATCTCTAAGAGGCACCAATCAAGAGAAGAACTGGACATTCTGTACAGACCTGGGAAGAAATGGTTCCCAGCCTCAAAAACTCAAGACCTGAGCCTAAAAACAGTTCTCCTGACTGACATCTGGAGGTAGAAAAAGGCTGCAAGAACAGGGTTCTTCTCTAACCCAAAAGGCCCTGATTTTAAAGATGGTTAAGCCTGCTCAGTCAACAAGGAGGGGCAGGCACCTCCAGAGAAAGCTCCATCCCAGCTCTAGACACTCCATCCCTAATGAAGTCACAGAAGCAAAAGATGACGAGCTTGCATTCAGACATCTAAAAACCCTTTGGAGGAGAACCCCACCTCGACTGTCTGCCCAGCACGGCAGACATCCAGGACAGGGTGGGAAACTGTTTGAAGTCTCCACAAGCCTCAGGGTAACTCCAGCACTACCTGTTACTTGCAAGTGAGTGTATCAGCTACACACCTTTGTCAGACTCATCAGACCAATGCTTCCACCCAACCAGGATGGCTCCTGACCAAGTAGCTGTACTGGCTTTCCTGAATATCCAAATTCAGCAACTCATCAGTTTATCAAACGACTTCCCAATTCACCATCTCCCCCCTTCTCCTCACAAAGCACAACTGCCTCCTTGTACAATTCTTTTCCATCCCTGCTCTGTCAAGCAGTATGGTCAGACCTCTCCTCTAACACAGATACACATGGAAGCTCACCATAATCACCACTTCCTCACTCCACTCTACCACTGTCTACTCTGTCCTCAATATCCTTCCAGTGTCTGGAGCATCACTTCAGGGTAGTCTGTCTATTCCTCCACGCTCCTGGCTCCCTTCACTGCCTTGGAGCAATGCAGCTTTGGATCCTGGGTCCTTTTCCAGCTTGAACACACTCAGAATACTTAACCCAGCACTATTCCATAAATCAGCCACTTCTAGCAACTCCTGTGATGTCCCAAAGCAACAGAAGAGGGCAGAGAGGAGTTGCCAGAAAAAAAAACACACATCACTTGCCCAAAAATCCACGGACACTGGCTGGTCCCAGAGTGGGAAGTGTCTTTCATGCATGAAACACTCCTGGTTTGAACACACACGGGCTCACACAACACCCCAATGCAGCCAGCTGTGACAGCTCCACCCGTGCAGAGCCAGGCCTACCTGCTGTGGCTGGCATCCAAAGCCCTGGTGTTGCCCTCTGCAATCCCAGCATAACAACTGGGAAATACTGGTTGCTGAGGGAATCTCAAAAATTGTTTCCATTTCCCAACTCCGCAGCTGCAAAATCCCCACGTCTCCCTTGCTACAGAGTGAACCCATGACTCGTATTGCCCAAAACCAGTGTTTCTTCATCAGAAAGCTGTGTTTTACAAAATCCCTGAAGTGCCCCAGGGGGACTGGCAAACAGCACTCTCAAGGTAGGTGACACCCTCCTGCGCAGACAAAGTGGCAGAGGTCCAGTGCTCCTGTACATCCTCACAGTGAGGGCTAGCACAAGAAGGACAAGCACCAGGTCCCAGAGTTGCTAGGTGCAACTACTTGTAATAATATGCTCTTTCTCCCTTAAATCCAACACACAGCCAGAGCACTGGGTGCCTAAATGAGTAACTACATCAGCAGCCCCAGATGCAGAGCCTCATCACCTCCCCTCTGACACCACTGCACAGGATCAAATCATTCCCACAGCAAACCGAGTAAGAGGGAAACAAATGAAACAGGAGAAGCAGCAACCCCAAAAGAATCACTTGGCCCTGGTCCAGGTAACTCCAGGGCTCAGAAGGCAAATTTCTAATAATCAAGGCTTGCTGGCTTGTTAAACATACCATCTATGCTCCACTGCTGTTATTAAACATAAGACACTGTACTTACTATTGCACAGGACTTTCTGTAGCATCAGAAACTCATATCTCTTTATATTCTCTGCTCTCTTCCTATACTTCAAGACAGTTGTTTAGGGGGGGAAGAAAAGGAAGAGAGAGCAAGCGTCCACACATGGTAAATGAACCATGCAATAAAAATTGTTGAAATTGGCTCAGCCATCTGCTGATAAGATCATAGAGAGTTGAGAAAATTGCAGCTCCACTAGTGACAAATCCAACCATTGACAAAATGCATCCACTCAGGGGAAAAAAAAAAAAAAAAGAAAAAAAAAGCCTCAAACAGACGCTTAAACACACAAGAGCACTTGCTAAAAATGCCAGTTCTTTGAACACTGAAGTGCAGAGTATTTTTACCTAAATATGATTTTGATCCCAGGAGACAAGGCTGGCACTTTTGGCATTAGCAATCCTCTCTTCAGGTTCATATAAATCAATATTCAAAGTATACGGACCTCAGTGTCCATCTGGAAGCAAATTTGCCTCTGTAGCTACAAAATCAGTCTGGCTCACACCTCCCCACATCACCTTATTCCATGTTCAGCCCTGAGCTAAAGTACCACCATGAGGGTCCCTGGACCTTTTCAAGCAGCTATTGGCAATTTCACTATAAACTGAAACTACTCCTTCAGGGGTCTGTAGAGTACCTGGGCAATAACCACCTCCTCCACAGGGCTGGGCTCTGTCACCTAATGGGAAGGGGTGGCTTTCCTTGGGGCTCTCAGCACCAGCTCCAAGCCTGCTCCCCAGTTCGCAGCCCACCCCTACTGCTGTACAAAGGCTCAGCCAGCAGAGAGGCAGCTGCAGAGCTGCCCAGTGCTTCCAACTCCCTGGTGACCTGCAATCATCACTCTGCATGATGTATCCCCCTAAGCCTTCAAGTACCTTGCAGACATTGATTATCCAGGTTTCTTGGACACTACAGCAGCTATGGCAGCAGGATAACATTTCAGGAATACTCAGTGCCTTCTTTTGAAAGCCCTTATGAAGCTTCACCTGTTTGTTCCAGTAGCGAAGTGCTTCATACTTCAAAAATCCTGTCAACCTTTTAGCACCCTCCAGCAGGTAAGGCCCTCCCTGCCATCCCTCTCAACCCAACTGAAGCCAAATGTGGTGAACAGGGAAGCCTGGCACCCAAGACCAGCCTCACAAGTAATGTCAAACATGCTACATGGCAGCACTTTCAGCAGCAGCACCACACATAGCTCCTTGCTGCTGCCTGCCACACATCCCAGACTTCTCCCATGGAGCTGAAACCCAACAGCAGCCCCCACACAACCCCTCCCTGTCTCTCTTCTCCAGAGGCATCATGCAGCACAGAGTAAAGCTCACGGTGACAGTGAGCTCTGTGCAGTGACACCACCTTTTGTGCCTCCTGAAAGTACCGTGGCACACACAGCTCCAGAGCAGGACCTTTGCATTCTCTGCAGAGGTCCAGTGTCCCCTGAGCAAGGCTCTCCCTAGGCATGGCACTCTGTAGCCACCAGTGTTCTCCACGATGCCAGTGCCTAGCAAATGACATACTGGTAAGGGAATAGCCAGTCTTCAAAAACTGAAGGAAACCATTCCCAGGTTTTAATGAAAATCCAGGCAGGAATTAAACTCTCCAAAGAAAACTGCTGCACTTTGACTCCAGTAGCAAGGTGAGAAATGCTTTTGGAACTGAGGTGACTCCACTCTGACCTGCTGTCCTTGCACCCAGAAGATGCACAGAGACCTTTTTCAAAAGCTGGAGTGGCTTCCAAGAGCTGCAGTTATCTACTAGCTAGGTAACCTGCCTGTACTTGGGCACCTACTCTAGTGCCTCAGTTCTGCGAAAAGACCAAACCAGAGTTCACCAGGAGACTACTCTAGTGTGAAATAGGTACTGCCTGTCTGGATCTGCGGTTTCAGCAGCACAAGCTCTAGGAGCTCAACAGCAGCAGCCACTCCCTCCTCTTCTGCTGAAGGCAAGCCCACTGCCACCTTAACTCCCTCAGAAACTGCCCCCCTGCCTCCTGCAAGGATCCTCCAGGAGGCCATGCTCATTGCCAGGCCCTGCTACGCTCCATCACAGCTCCTGCTACATCCCACCTCCTGCCTCACTTCACCTGCTGTGGAAACACTCCGTGCTTCCTTTTGCCAGTACTTGTCTGTCAGGTAGGCAGTTCTGCCAAGAACCTTAAAGCAGTTGCAAAGCTCTCTGCTGTTGCACATGCAAACCCTCTTAAGAAATAGCCAGAAGGTTTTGCCTAATGTAAGAGTGTAAACAAACTTGTTACATGCTAATCACCAGGTAGGCCACACACCCTCCCCCTTCCCCAAATCTGCTGAAAGCACAGGAAATATAATGGTAGTCACACACCTTGGCTTCCTCGTTGATGTCCCAAGTGAAGGATATGGCATTGTACGCGATCTCCTCGATGTTACTGATGGTGTTGAAGCTCTCCTTGTAGTCAGCTGTTAGAAAGAAGGATGTGTGAGGGAGAGGAGGTGGTGGTACCATCTGGAGCCCTTAATCACACAAAGCGGCCACAAACTGCAGCACCTTCACAACCTCTTTGGGGGAAAAAGAAGCTCAACTGTACTTAGGAGTGTTAAAAAAAATCGTTAAAAAGGCTGGAAATGGTTCTCATTCAAAACAAACAAACAACAAAGAGTAGGAAGGGGGAAAATGGTACTTGGCAGAAATTCCAAACTAGAAACTCCAGTGAGAAAGGCAGCCATCCCAAATATCGGGTGTCCTGTGCCACAGCTGCTCTGTGCAGGAAACTCTACCCTGTACAGCGAGGGCATAAGCTCTGAATAAAACTCCCTCAATAACAAGCAAAGATTTGCATGCGCGTCTGCTTTAAGTGCCAAGTGATTAATCCCTGCTTTTATTCACAGGAGGAAGGGATGAGGAGCACAACTCAGCCTTCAGCCAGCAAAGGCTGGAAGCCAGCCAGCCCCAGCCTTGTCTGGAGGCAAGTGGAAATTTGCAGTGTTTTCTTTTTTTACGTGTACCCAAGGCCAGTTGTGAGCGAAGCTGTGGGAAGGAGAACCATTAGTGTCGAGGTATTTCTACGAGGACCTTGTCCTTTGAAGAAACTCACATTTAGGACAGCCACAGAGTATAACTTGCGATTTAGCTACAAGCACCAAGATATGCCAAAGCAAGTTTGGAGGGGGGCATAAGATCTCTCAGTGCAAAACTCTAAACCCAGCCTGCTCACCAACCAAATTCCTCCAAAAATTAGCCTCTTTAAGGAGTCCCAAAAACTACAGCATTAGCTTCAAGCAATCAAAAGCTCTCTCTGGGCCCTCAGCAGAGCTATGGATAGCAAAGGGTGTGATCCAAAGGTTCTTTAAAATAACAAAGCTTTAGCAGGAAAGCAAACCTTGCCAAGGAATTAAGTTTGGAGTTTGACATCAGCAACAAGAGTGTTCCTTACCTATGTCAATGCACCTTTGTTTGGCTGTGTGCTGTCTTGAGTGCCAGTATTTCCAGTGCCTGAGCTGATCTTCCCTTGTTTTGTCTTCAGCAAACACAACCATGATGACACTCTAAAAGGCGAGGGGGTAAAACAAACAAAAAAGTCAACACAGGCTCCACCTCCCCTCCCCTTTGCTTTTTTTTTCAAAAAAAAATAAACAAAAATACAACCCAAAAACCCCACCACCCAAAACAAAAACGTGTGAAAAAGAAAAGGCCAGAGAGTACATTTGTTTTGGAAGTTCTTGCTGGTATCAGGTTTTCTGCTTCATGCTCTTCCAACTTGACCTAGCACAGCGGTGTCAAACAGGAAGGCAGACAACAGCACTTTCTGGGTCATCAACAAGAGATGAGCAGAACTGCTCTCCTACCTGCAGTTCAAGGATCTCATTGCAGGTGTTGCATCACCTTTACACAAGTGCTGACACCACTTCTGAACAGACTGAGCCAGGACAGGCTGGTCTGGAGGTAGGTGGACAGCAAAGGAACAAACACTGACGTAAGGAAGTGGGTAAGCTGGCCTTAGTGCTGATGCTCTGGCTGAGATTACTGTATTTTGGGAGAGTTTAAAGCTACTGTTATACACACCCTCTTTCCCAAGAAACCACAAGAACTGCCACTCACTCGGACTTTACTGATGGGGTGATGGATTCCTTCACTGCTGCTGACTTCCTTCAGTGTAATCGGGTAAAATTGACCTTTATTCAGGTAGGTCATCGTGCTGTCCCCAGGCTTCTGTCGGAGGGACTTGGAGGCTTCCAGAGTGTATTCAAAGTTATTCCTGCAGAGCAAAGAGGGCAGTGATTGCTAAGGCATTTTCCTGGAAAGCTGATCAAATGTTCCACATATAATTTGGAGAAATTCCAAAGATTTTAGTTGACTCACTAAGCCATCAACAGGCAAGGAAGTTGGAAAACAAGATGAGGCCCTTTTTCAACCATTTCCTTCATGAATGAACATTTAAGAGAAATTCTTGGCAAGCTAAATCCCAAGACATGTCAGCAGGCAAGACTGGAAGCTCGCTATTCAGGCTGAGAGTAGCAAACTGCTCTCATGGAACAGAAAAACATCTATCAGCAATTAAATTAAATACACAAGCTAAGAAAGCATTCAGTAGCTTTGGTCTTCTCTTCCTGTTTGGTCAACTGCAACTAACTAACTAGTTTATTCCCCTCCTTTAGAATTTAAATGAGTTTATTGGTTCCTATTTCAACTCTACATTTCCAGCGGGGAGAGAGCAAAGCAAGCAGGCCACAGAGAGGGACACAGCTGAAAGCCAACTCTGAGACCACTGCACAGCTGACATACAGTGCTGCACCCTTCCATGGGACAGGGAGTCTGTACAAGGGCAGCGACTGAAACTGGTGATACTTCCAACCCTGCAGGTAATTTCCTGCAAAGATACGGGTAGGATTTTCATCTGTGAAATAAAAAATTCAAACCACTGTTGTGGTTTTGAGAGCCACAGCCCTCAGAATGCCTGACAGAGACTCAAAGCAGAAGGTCAGGAGCTGTACAGCTTGCTCATGGACAACTGCAAGAGAATAGGAGCACACAGGCAAATGGGAACCTTAAAGCCTTACCCAGAAATGCTGTCAAAAACATAATCTTCTGAATTCATGTTGGCCATCCGGAGATTCAGTTCAGTAGGGAAGAAAACCTGGAGTAGACACAAAACAACACAACAATTAACATAGCAGCAACAAGAAAAGTCAAGATTCAACAAATACTTGTTACCACAGAATTTCTGGCAGGCAAATTGATCATCAGATAACAACCGATTTTTGGTCTCTACAAACAGGACACTTGACACCCAAAAGTTCTGAATTAAAACCCTGCTCAACTAAGCACAACATCTCATAAGCTTTCTGAGTCAGCTTAGGGCAACATTTTAAAGCTTTCCCAAATCTCAAAGAAAGAGCATAGCTACAGTTCCTTGAGGTCTGGCTCAAACACTGCAACGGTTGCGCTGTTGTTTTCAGTTGGCACCATAAAACAAAAAACACAGATTTTCATCCAAGTTGAACTCGAGGCCCCTAAATAAACTGACTGTTTTCCACTGACACACACCACACCTAGAAACTGGCAGCAAGGAAGCTTACAGACACAGTCACTTCACCTCAGTACCTGTAAAGGCACCGCAGAGTGCTGCACCTTTACAAAACCTGGCCCAGTGCTGCGGATTCAGATAACAATTTCCACACTCTGCAAAGCCAAAGCCTCTGCCACTGGTAACATTAGGCATTTGCTTTTGATGAGGATTTCATATTGTGAAGGGTTTACTTATTGAATTATGCACCTTTCTGAGAAAGTCTTCTACTCCTAAACCACTGGACAGATTTCTGGCTCACATAACAAGAACAATTAAAGATGGAACTGGATCTCTCCGACCAGCTCAAGACACAGACACATGCACACAGCCACAGCCTCTCGTGGTACCTCTTGCACGCCCTCCTTGAAAGTCTCCGAGAAGGTGGAGTCTGGCGTTCGCCTCTGGGAGTTTTGAGGCTGGGTGTTGGAACTGAACTGGTCGGGATTGAGGTTCCTGTCAAAGACCACCACCCGCTCGGGGGGCTCGGGGTGGTAGACACTTGGTGGGATGCCCACTGTGAAGCCATGGGGCTGCGTCTCCGTTTTGATGGAATGGGTGGGCATCGTGGCAATGGAGACGGTGACCGTCGTGTCAGGGGTTGTGAGGTGGCCTCTCTTGTCCATGCCCATCTGGGGTGTGTGTGGAAGGACAATATTGAAAGGCACATTTTTCAGAACCTGGACTCTGTTTTCTCCAGCAGAAATAAGCGACTGCTCTGTTACATTTGGAATGTTGTTCCTTTAAAGGATAAAAAAAAGAAAGCATGAATTATACAACTCATTTTCTCATTGAACAAGAGCTAGAAATATTTCTCAGCCTTTTGGACAAGGGCAGCTGACACCAACTCTCCTGCTTATGCAAAGCAGCTCAATCCTAACCTGAACAGCTGGGAAACCCTCACCCACTATGAGCAAACCTGCACTGAAGATTAATTACTGTGGAGCAAAGGGTGAGGGTCCACAGCCCAGGTTCTCTGCTTGGAAAACAGCAGTCCAAGACTAAACACTTTGTGGCCCTTCTTTACCACACACACAGCAAACGTAGGCTTCGCTAAGCTGCTCTTTGGCAGGTGGAGAAGGACCAAGAGCAAGGTTGCTGCTCCTCTGCCCTAGGACTGTGCACCACCCGGGAAGCATTAATAGGGAAATTACACCCCTCTCTCATGCACAAATCCTCAAGAAAATCCACATCGAGACTCCCTGGAGTGGTTTGCATAACCTCCCACTCTCCACCCCACCACACTCATTTCTGCCAGGACAACACTGGGATCTGTGGCTGAGCTGACCTCATAGCTAGTAGCCACTAAGTCAGCCTGCCCTCCCTTTCTCCCTCCCCACAACGTGGTCCTGCCCTCGCCTTTGCACCAATTCTGACGCTCCCCCATCCCCTTGGTGAGCCAGTTCAGCTTGTTCCACTGGCAGAAAACCAGACACTTCTCTTTTTCTGCTAGGTTATGGGTCAGTGGAACGCCACAGGTGGTGCAAGGGGTGCAGTGGGAACACATGGCTGGGAACCAGACTGCTCTTCTTAGCGACGGGTTGTTTGATCGGCTCAGCCACACCACAAAACCTCAAGGCCTTAAAGCACTCCAGTCTGTCCAAAGGAAGAGGATGGTTCAAGTGGAAGCCTGGCTTGAATGAAACTCACATTCATAATATTTACTTAATCAGTACCATCTTCTGCTTGGGAGGCACAAGAGAGGGAGGTGAGGAAGAGGAAGGAAGAAAGAATGGAGTTCCAGAATGCTACAAATGATACAAAACCAAAACTAAATCACAAGCACTTTGAAATCCTTCCCTATCAGCCCATGCACAAAGAAGCAATACTGCTGGTGTCCAAGAACATAAAGAGTAGCTAGCAACTGAGCCAACCACCTATAAAAATAAAGGGGTGGGGGTCACAAGTCAACTCCATGGCCTTGGGAAGGGGTGTCTGTGCTACCAGGCTGTGCCTAGTGTTAAAAACTGCACCTTTGTTACGCTAACTGTAAGACACCAGTAGACAGCAAGCAGATGGATGGTGAAGAGAAGGAGCTCGGGCCTCAGCTCTCCACACCACGGTCCAATCCCTGTCCTGTTCCTGGATGGGGATTTCCAGCACAGGAATTTGGGGCACAGAGTAAAAGCAAACCATTTCTGTCTTCCACTGCACTGCAGTACAGCAAGATATTTTTCTCCAGCAGCTTTGGTGGTCTAGGAGGGCAGGGAGATAGACACACAATAAGAAAAACTAATACCTTTTGCTGTGGTCTTGGTCTGGATGTTCTACCTCTGGTTTAGCTGTCGAAGATCTCCTCTCCCTTGGAACCTGAGAAAAACAAGACATGATGTAATTGCATTCTTCCTCCCATTAAAATAAATAAATAAATTAGCTCCTCAAACACAGCCATTTGGTCAAATTAAAAAAAGGAACACTCTGATACCAGTCATTACTAGTATTACAGCTTGACAAGCATTTGCACAGCTTTGGGATGCCAGGCTCACCCCAGGCAATGCCCCACAGATCCCTGTGTAGCCAACCCAGTCAGATGTGCCAGCCCTGGGCTCCTGCCAGTGCCAGGTGGTAGCAAAACCAGTGCAGAAAACTTGCCAACCCTGGCTGGACCACCAGCACAGAGGTAAGCAGGACCAGGAGGAAACCTCCTAAGGTCTGCACTAGTGGTGCACGTCTTCTCCTCTGCAGGCTGACAGCGTTCAGCTTGCTGAATCTGCTTTAGTCTTGTGAAAGGACACTGCTCCACAGCCTGTTCCTCAAAAACGTACTCTCTAGACTACTTCCTCAAAGACCACTCATGGCTCTTCTCAGAGATCAGGGGATTCAAGGAGGACCAGGTACAGTAAGCATATCAGGATGGTACAGCTCATGTCTGTGCACAGCCACATACACCACACTGGCTCAAACCATATTAAATCCTTTATAAACAGAACATAACCACCAGTGCTCTGGATTTAAGGCAGCTCAACACTGCTCCCTGTATTTTACAGCATGGGCAGGATTTACCCTGAAAACACTACACCCCACAGCACTGCCCACACAAACCAGCCCGACCACACGCAGGCACGTGCTGCTTTCCCAGGCCCACTGCAAGGCCAAGGCACGCACAAAGTGAGTTCTCCAACCTGCTCACTGGAGCACATGGCCAGCGCCCCAGTGACCCAAATGGCTCTTGCCACCACTGGCACAAGTCTGTAGTGCTTAAATCCCCTCCACAGGACAGCAAGTCCATGCAGGCTCCTCTGCTAACCCACACACGGTGCCCAGGACTTCTGTCAGCCTCCTGAAAGAGCAAAGCAAATACCTTCTGGTGTAAGGAGGAAACACTCACCACCTTCCTTCACTGAAGCCTGCTGAGATACTGCCCGTATTTCCCAGTTTGGGTGCAACATGGGGAACCACTGCTTTACTGATAACTCACAGGTTGATGGCAAACCTGTGTCAACAGCACACTTCTCTGAATAGCCCCTGAATAAAACCTAAGTCCTGGCTCTTCCACATAACCTAGAATCTCCAATAGCACCAGAACTGTTGGATTTTCCACAGTAACCAGCAAAATCTGGAGTACATCTAGCTGGAGGTGCTAGAAGGCCAACACTAACTAATCACTAAGAACAAGGGGTTTCCAAGCTCGGTTTAGCCAACACTCCTAAAGTCTAAATTTTGAACAAAGACTTTTTTTTTTCCCCCTGTAAGGTCTTATTAACCACAGGTGGGCTACCAGGGTAGCCCATTAGTCAAATGGAAGAAAACTTGAGTTGTTTTGTTTTTTAAATATGAAGATGATTTCATTGGCTGCCTTTAATATTGCAGCGGGGGCGTATCAGAAATGCTGAGACACTGTCATCCCTCTAGCATTACTTCACAACAGCACTCAATAAATCTTTCAACCTCTAACCATTTTGCTTCACCCAGATGTGGAGCATACCTTTCTTCCACTGATTCTTCTGTACACCCGCTGACACCCAAACATAAGAGTGAACCCTGAATTAGACAATGTACAACAAATCCCTTCTGCTTCGCCGAGTGTAAAGGGTCAACATCAACATTCTCTTTGTAATCTACAGGTTTAGAAATCAAAGTTGGTTTTGTGGATTAAAATTTTTCTGGTGAAAGTGTTAGGGTTTGGTGGGGGTTTTTTGCCTTTTTTTTTTTTTTCCCCCAAATGCAAAGAGCCAGTTTTCTCACAAATCATGCTGAATAACATCCACATCAGTGAGCTTGCGGCATCCTGCCGTGTGTGCCTGAAGTGCTAATCTCTGTGTTAAGCATTACAAGAATATTTTGATACGTAAGACATGCTCAGCTCTTAAAAGGGCAGGGCAAGGATTTCATGTGCACATGGCAACCTCTTGCACTTGAAGAACATAACAAAACTGACAATTGCACTCCCTGCTGCTAAAAGACACTAGCCAAAGTGTCAGGCATGCAAGCCTCCTGGCCTCCCTGTACATTCAGCAAAGATAAAACAGGCACCTCCACCTGGTGAGCCAGGCCACTGTAACGCAGGCATCCAACAGGAGCAGGTCACCTCCCTGCCTGGAAACGCCTGCTAGCCTACACTGACTTGGACTGGAGATAACTACCCTGGCTTAAGCTTCTGGTAGTTAGGAAAGCTCAGCAAAATGTATCCCGTGCAAACGAGAAGGTTATTTGTTTAACTGTGTTCCATTCACCCATGAGCACCTAAGGCAGCACACACATCAAGAAGACTGTGAATGCTGGGGAAGACAACCACAGTTGCCAAAGGATTAACAGACCATGGCAGCTGAAGCTCAGTGAAGGCTAGAGGGATGCAGTCAGCAACTCCATCAGGTGGACACTTTCACCCCACACACCACCAAAAATCTGCAGTTATAACTTAGCATCACCTAAGAGACTAAGGTAGCACGTGAAAGCCCCAGCAAAAGCCAATGGTCCCACCAGAATAGGGATGATGTGAGCAAAAGAAGAGAAGCTTCATTCTCCAAGCGTATCTACGTTTGGACAGGGACATGCTCCCAAAGTCTTCATGGCTACTTCCAGAATACATTGCCTTCTGCAAAAAGTGGAGTCCACCAGCAAAGTGCTACTGAAGCTTCTGACCCATTCATTATGGCCCAGGGGATCTTATTTTACTGAGGTAAAAATAAACCAATTTTCAGGAAAAGGGACATGGAGCTTTCTCCACCAAAACCCCACACAGTTTAAAGTCCTTGCGATCTATTCACAGCTTCTGTAAAATCCTCTAGTGAGCAACCCCTTTTCCACAGGCAGATCGAGAGCTCCACGTGCTGCTAGAGCGTACCCACGCCAATCTACCTTGTAGTAATCATAGAGCAGTCCCAGGGCAGCTGCGCTGTCTTCATCACCATTGATGCTCATCATAGCTTTGGTAGCTGCTGTAAGGGGATTTTCAAGAAAGGTTTTCCAGGCCTCATCTTCACTGGTGTAAGGACGTCTCTGAGAGTAGAGAGAGTCATTCTGAAGAACCAACACGGGTCTTTTACTTGATTCATAAAAAAAAGAAAGGAAGAAAAAAGCCACCTGTTAGAACACATGAAAAACATTCCTAAAGTTCTTCAAAGTTAGCCACCCCAGTTTCACAGGGTTCCTATTCTGATTCAGTGCACTGCAAAGATTAGTCAACACAAAAAGCTCAGAAACCTAATTCTGATCTCACTCATGCTCAGTGTAAATCAGGATTAATTTGACCAAACTCAGCTGGATTACACCAGCCTACATAAAAAGGCAAAGCTGTTTAAGAATACAACTGACCTGCTCCTGCTCTGAATCCAACCCAGGAAGTTACATGCGCTTACTAGCCTACCACCTACAAAACCTCTAGCACATCCTACGTCATGCTACCAGCCACAACCTGCTAAAGTTCCCGTGTGGAACTAGAAAATGTGAGTTAATGAAAGCTCTCTTTCACCCAGAGCCTTCAGAAGGTGTCTTGACTCTCAAGAACAGATCTGAAAACACCACCTAGAAGCTGACAACTAGTCACAGACTACAACGGGAAACGGGTCAAAAGGACTGCAAATCAGCTTGGCAGTGAATTTTTCTGACAAGGGAGTCCAAAAGACTCACTGCCTGGCTACTCTTGAAATAATCTGTGACATTAGTTTGAAACACCCTCACAGATGACTAGGAAATAAAATAGAAAACCTGGAGATTTTCCCTTTCAGTACACAAAAAAAAACAAACAAACAAACAAACCAAAACAAAACACCACCAAAAACACACACAACACCAAGAAAGCCAAACTTGTCTTCATTCTGAACACTTTAAGATTGCTGGGAACAAGAAAGCTCCAAGACAACTTAGACTTTCTGCCCACAGGTGAAAGTGGGACATCTGTAGAAAATGCTGTCTCACCAGCTTAGACAACTTAATATTTTTTAGTTCTAACTGTAAAATATATGCTTTGTTTTTCACGTCAATTGAAGCTACTGCTGTTTAACTGACTCTTAAACCAGTTCAAACAGTTTTCTTCCCAGTGCAAGTGTAACATTAGTTTACTGCAAATTGGCGGGGATAGAAGACTTTTTTCTTCTTAAATAATCCCAAACTCAACTCAAATTAATTGTTAATAATTTATATTAAATATTTCTTCTTTAAAATGTCAAACCCCACAAAAAGCAGTTCCCTGCCACCATCATGCCCCTTCTCCAGTAGATAAGCATTCTTTTTATCTGTTTACCCAGATGCACTCACAGATTGAAATATACTACAAACACAAAAAAAAGTTGTGAAATATAAAGTTGTGAAACACTCTAATCACTATAATCATCTTAAAAGTATCCTACATTTATCACCACCTTCTACCAAAAAGATTGCAAAGAGCTTTGCCAATTACGGGCTCCTGTATCAGTTACACAAGGAGCCGGGCTGAGCTGAGCTTCCCTGGGACAGCCTGGCCGTGCTGAAGACACTTACTTGAGGAGAGTGGGAGTTTCCAGGACTTGTGAGAGCACTCTGTGGCTCTAAGTCAATATTTCACGGTGGGAAAAAAGCAAACAAAACCAAAGAAAAAGACAAGCTCCTGCACCGAGCCCTTTCATTAGCTCTTCCTACGTATGTGTGTACTCAGTGACGCAGACACCGAGATGCAGCGTACCGGAATCCAGGCACCTCTGGTATCGAGGACACCCACCTTCCAACAAAGCGAGGCAGGCAGCAGAAAACAAACCCGAATTTTCTGTAGGGAGATGGTACAAGCTCCTACTTTTATAGAATGTGATAAAGGAAGCCTCAAATATCCACAGCAAACGGCTACATCCTCCAGTTAAAGTCGCTTGTAAAGCAAAAGGCAAACGAAATATCCTGAGTGCAGTTCTCCTGATCCATCCCTGCCCAGCCAGACGGCTAAGCCAGCCTTGATGGGACTCACAAGACCACTAAGCCTATTCCTCCAGCAACACAATGCTCACGTGGAAAGAGAGAACCAAAACCACCAAGAACTAAAGCAGCTGCTAACCAGAAATGCAGCAAATGCAAAACCTACATATTTTGGTGTGACTTCTTTGCCATTGCAACACGCCAGCGTACTGTGCATCGCCCTATAGGTAACTTGCCCCTCTAAAAGCAGTGTAAAAAGAATTATCTTCAGATTTCTCAAAAGGAGCACGGGGTTTGGCAGTAACTCAATCTCTTAACAGAATCACAGCTTCTTTCAGGAAAATGAGAACGTATTAATAAGAGAAGGCAAACGTTTATTTTTCCAAAGTTAGGTTTTAAGATTGCTGGCATATGAATTTGTTCACAAAGGAGCAGATGTGTCCAGCAATGCTTGAAAGGAATTTTCCTACTGCAACTTTAATATTTTCTGAGTTTTATTTCCTATACAACCAAAATGGAAGCAGAGAAATATTTACAAAAAGCAGATTCTCCCTCTTTGCCCAAGAGGATCTGACAGCCCACCATATCCAGTGTTTGCACCACAGAAACTATTCCTACCTACTTCACAAATCCAAAATTCACTCTCTGTCTCCCTCAGAGTGCAATTTAATGTGAGATGTTAAAGAGATCTTCAGCCACAATGTACTTTATACCTGGCCTTGCAGAGAGCACACCTTTAGTGCTGAGGCAGCAGACAGGATTTCTTTCGCCAGCTTCTACGTGCCAGGAAAGCAAAGTAGAAGTACCTAAATCGCTATGGCCTCATCCATTAAGAGTCATCAGAGGTAAAAAAACGTGAAAAATCCTAATCATAGGGTGAAGTTCGGGAGCTGCCACATTAAAGCCCTCCTCCTAAAAAGTAATCTAGTAAAAAAACTCCACTTTGGTAAAAACCCTACACTTTCCCTAGGAAACGAGTGCACTGGAGTCACTCATCATTCAAAACATCGTGATGTTACTACAATCGGTTCTTCAAACCGCTTCAAGAGTTATCCCATTTTCTACACAATGACAGAGCCCACGGCCACTGTCTCCAAACAGACACAGTGGAAATAAACCCCGGGCAGCGAGCGGAGGAAGGGACCCGCCCGGAGAAGGTGTCTCGCCGGTCACCGACGTTTAGTCACCGACGGCGGAAGCCAGACTCCGTTCGAGCGTTTTAACGCCGGGTTTCGAAGCCGCCGGCTGCCCGGTGCCGGTGCGGGGCGGGCATGCGCGGCCGACCCCCTTACCTGCTGAAATCCACCTTGCCGGCGGGGTGCGCCTCGTAGAAGTCCATGGG